TATATTATTTTCCATATTCTTTGCGGAGCTTACGAGAACAGATTTCCAATTTTGTTGATCGGAACTCCAAAATTTATTATTTAGCTACTAAATATGAAGAGATTCCTTTTTTGTATATAACAAGGTTAAAGTATACAAAATTTGACCTAGAAAAGTCATATGAAAATATTAAAGCCGAATAGAGACTAATAAGATCGAGACTAAGTTACAAGTTACAACCACATCAAAGTGAAATATAATTTCATATTTATAATTATTTCTATTTTGATAAAACATTTTGTATATTGACGAGAATACTATCAAGGGCTTGAATGATTTTGCATTATAAAAGTGAAAAAGAAAAGTTTGCATATGATCTTATAAGATACTTATCTACGACGAATGAATATCAGCACAATATATACGATGAGATAATGGAAGTTGTGACACCTGAAAGAGGAAGTTTCTTTTTTATGTATGGTTACAGTGGAACTGAAAAAATATTTTTTTTATAAAAATCAGTGTTTATTTCTCTAATGTCAAATGATAAGATTGTCTTGAATGTCACATCCAGTTGTATTGCAACATTACTTTTTCATGGGTGAATGACATTGCACTTGAGATTCTCAATCTCTTTGGGCAATTGCATAATGTGTGACATCAAACAAGAGAGTCCGAAAGCAGAATTAATCTAACAAATAAGTCTAATACTATGGGATGGAGCATGCATGATGAATAGATTTATTTTTAAGGTGCTGGATCATAAAATGAGAGATGTAATGAATTTATCTAATAAAAACTCTAGAAATGAACCATTTGGAGGGGAAATAGTTGAATTCGAAGGGGAAAAAGTAGGACTCGAAGGGAAAATAGTTGTACTTAGAAGTGATTTTTGGCAAACTCTTCCTGTTTTACCCAAAACTTCAAGAGAGAAAATTGTGAGATATATTCTTTAAAATTATGGTCGTATTTTAAAATTTATATGTTAGCGAAGAATATGATATTACATTCTTCTACGTCCTCTATCCCAGATAGGGACACAAAAAATTTTTCTGATTGGATAATTAAAGTTAGAGATGAAAAACTTAGACAAGTGATTGATGAAACAACTGACCTTAAAATTCCGCATAAATTATTAATTTTAGACACAAGTTATTTTGTGAAGAGTATAGTCGACTTCACTTATCCTAATTGAACCTATTGGAGAGTATGAAAATTTATTCATTTTTTAGGATCTGGCACTACTAGACCATGCTTGAGGTTGTAGAGATGGTAAATGAATTTGTCATATCCCTCATTACCTAATATGAAATGGTGTGCCTGAGTTTTGATTCTTCATGTCAGGTCGATTCAGATGTAATTATCGATGACAATTAAATAACAATTAAATTTTAAATGAAATCAAATGTTCGGCGATCCAAAACTACAAAATAATCTTAAAAATGGCTTAACGATTTTGATATTGAGAAACATTGACCAAATATATGGATTATGTAATGGTACACGATTAATCCTTGAAGAGCTGTGAAAGAAAGTTGTTGGTTGATTGTGGTTTTGAGAAATCGAGTCAGCAAAAAGTTTACATACTCCTAATGAAATTGATACCATCTAATCTAGGACCACTCTTGAAGTTATTTATAAGGCAAATATCAATAGTCTTATATTTTGCAATGACTATCAACAAAAGTCAAAGTCAAACATTGTCATTTCTTGCATTACTTTTAACCAAGTTGGTATTCATTCATGGTCAGCTTTATGTTATGGTTCCATGAGTGAAGACAAAAACAAAATTAAAAGTATTAGTTCTAGATGACAATGATACCCTTGCAACTATATCAAAAAAATTATATACCCTACAGTCTTTCAAAAAGTTTGGTAGTAAAAAAAACTTGGTTGAATACACATTCAATTCCTCAAATATTGTTTATTCTACTTTAATTTGGAATTTTTGTATATAGTATTAAAAATCATATGGAAATATATTTTCTTTATTCTGGGAAAAAATATTGCATTAAAAAAGTTTTAGAACCAATAAAATTTTTGTTCGACCCCGTGCATTGCACGGGTAAAAATACTAGTAAAAAGTAATAAGTGAGACGTGTATACTCCATGATTACAGATAATGTATATCGTACATACATCTGGCTATACGTAGAACTAGGTACACCCAATGAATATTTGTTTTGGACCAATAGAATATATATATTTTTTAGGCAAAATAGAATATTTATTTTGAATCAATAAAATGTTCATTTTCAACCATTGTACACTTTGGAGCCTACATAGCAAAGTCTTCATTCCAAAACAAAAACGTATTATTTATTCTAAAACAATGTAGAAATAAATTGATTCTCAAATACTATATTACGAAGTATAACCCCTTGGTTTCCATGTTATCCGGGGGTGCTCCGGTGCCCTGTTCGTAAAATTGACGGTTTATAACCCTCCTATCCTCCGGTAAACCTCTCCACCCCGCCCGACCCGAACACACCCCCTACCCCTTTCAAGTTTCAATTGCACTCCCCGAACACACCTCACAAGATTCCAAAGTCAAAATTAACGTGGGGAATCCAATTAACAAGATTCCAAAGTCAAAATGAATCAAAATTAACTGATTATAAAGGTTGGAATTCTTGTTATGTTGTTACAAAATGTTGACCAAACAATGGGTCTTTGTAATGGTACTCGGTTGATTATAAGTTGGCTAGGATCCCATGTCATCCAGGGAAAATTGAGAGTAGGAGAACATGCTGGTCATGAGGTTGTGATTCCAAGACTCACACTCACACCTTCGGATACGAGGATTTCTTTTAAGTTTCAGAGAAAACATACGCTATGACAATAAATAAAAGTCAAGGCCAGTCCTTGAATCACGTTGATCTTCTACTAAAAAAATCGATCTTTATGACAGTTATACGTTTCATTTTCTCGAGTGACAAATTGTCAAGGCCTTAAAATTTTGATTTGCAACGCTGATAATAATGTAGTCGAGCATACCACTAAAGATGTATTTAAGGAAGTTTTAAAAAATATTTGAAGTATGTTAAAATGGTCAATTTTTTGTTTTTATCAACACGTGTCATTTGTAATGTATTAATCTTAATGCATCGCACGGGTACGAATTTTGTTTTTAATATCATTTAGTCTGTTTCTCCTTATCAATAATCTATTATGTAGAAATATTATCTTTATCCTTAGAATTTCCTAAGGTATATAATTAGCTTTTTTATCTTTATAAATTAAGCTCTTAATTAAATTTTAATTAATAACAAATATAATAACGAAATGCTCCCCGTGCATCGCACGAGTGCGATGCTAGTTCTAAAACAATGTAGAAATAAATCGATTCTCAAATACTACATTACGAAGTATAACCCCTTGGTTCCCATGTTATCTGGGGGTGCTCCGGTGCCCCGTTCGTAAAATTGACGGTTTATAACCCTCCTATCCTCCGGTAAACCTCTCCACCCCGCCCTACCCGAACACACCCCCTATCCCTTTCAAGTTTCAATTGCACTCCCCGAACACACCTTACAAAACTCCAAAGTCAAAATTGACGTGGGGAATCCAATTAAAGGGAGTGATGGGTGTGTTAGGGTCAGGATGGGGTAAGAGATTTACCGAGAGTTAGAAAGATTAATAACCGTCAATTTTATAAACGGGGCACCAAAACACTCCGAGTCATCCCATGACATTGGGAAATGTAATGAGAACATGCCTCATTTTTTAATTACTCCCTCCGTCCCTAAATATTTGCCATACTTGTATTTCCGAGGTAAAATATCAAATTTTTTCAGTTCATTTTATTTACATATTGATATAAAAATAAAAAATAAGATTTATATATCAAAAAACTACATGAAAAGTTTTTTTGAAATAAGAGGTGTCAAGAATATTTTATTTTATCAAATAACCAATAAAAACATAGAAATAAACAAAAATTTCCGCTACGGTTGAAAAAGTATTTTGGGATGGAGGGGGTATAATTCACAACTAAGGCTCCGTTCCGTTCAACTTATTTTTTCTAATCTGATCTGATTCTAATAAGTTCTGATCTGGTCTGATCTGATCTGATCTAATTGGATCTGATCTGATCTGATTGGATCTGATCTGATCTGATTGGATCTGATCTGCTCTGATTGGATCTGATCTGATTAATTATGATTTAATTTAAAATTTCAAATCAATAATTTAATTTGACTTTATAATAACGTTTGAAAATTGTAATGATAATTCATATTATAATATAATCAATATTTTTTATTTAATGATTCCTTTTTAATAAAATAAAAATAGTTAATTCATATATTAGAATAATCATTCATATTATAATGTAATAATATTTTTTATTTTATGATAATTTTTTTGTAAAATTAGAATTATACATTGGAATAAATATTTAATTTAGATATACATTTAAAAGTAATTAAATTTAGATAATCAATATATAGAAGAGATAGTATTTTTATTAAAATATCTCAACCTTATAAAAGATCAAAAGTTTAGAAACTCAAATTATAAGTAGCAATAAAAATATATTTTAAAAGTAGAATTAGATTGACATTCTCAATGTATTTTAAAACTAATTTTTCCGACGTCTAATAATTAAGGATTACTTTCTCAGCTTTTTATTTAACCTATTTCTAAAGTTTATTCTTTTTCATTTTTAAGAACAATAATAATAATAATAATAATAATAATGATGATGATGATGATGATGATGATGACGATGATGATGATGATGATCATAATAATAATAATAATAATAATAATAATAATATAATAATAATAATAATAATAATAATTCTTGATGAGATCTTATTTTAATAAGTCTTGATCTGATCTGATCTGATTGGATCTGATCTGATTCGATCTGATCTGATCTGATTCGATCTGATCTGATCTGGTCTGATCTGATCTGATTTTAATAAAAATAAGAAAAAATAAGAAAAAATAAGTTGAAGCCTAATCCTTCTCACAAAAGAATCTAAAAAATGTAAGTATGTAACAATAGAGCTGCCATAGATGAGATTTCCAAAGCCTATGATCTCCGATCATCACCCCCAAGCTTCAGACTGCCTAATTACAGGTGATGCCGAGAAGAATCTCAACAATTTCGTCGTCATTATCCTCCGACCATTTAGCCTTCAAATGGGCCAAACAATGTTTCCTCAGCGGCGGCAATTCTCCGCCTGTATGGGCAACTCTGGTGGGAGGGTTCTTCTTAGTTGTCTCTCTCACCCTATCTACTTTCCTCATTTTCGAACACCTCTCTGCTTACAACAAGCCCGAGGTTCAGTGTTTGGTGAACAATAATTGCATTTCCAATAAGATTTGTCCTTAATTTCTTCATGACTTTGGTGTTCTTGTTTTCTGGGATGTGTTTGTTTTTCCTGTGACAGGAGCAGAAGTTTTTGATCGGGGTTCTTTTGATGGTTCCATGCTACGCTGTTGAATCAGTGAGTTTTTCAAGCCTTGTTTTTGTTGCCTAATAAATTTGCAGCTGATTAAAATATTTGAAGGCAATGTTAAAATGTCAGTCCAAGGGTGAGGATATATGCCAACCTGTTGTTAGGATAGTATGTAGCTCCAGTTATCTCATCATAAATTTCCTCTATCAGGCTATTGACAATTTGACATGTAGCTCTAGTTACAGATTTGAAGTCTGGGGTTTACATGATTTTATTGAAAAACCGAAATCTTTGTGGGATTATGTGTTGCTTCTAAAATATCTGCTTATTCTTCATTGCATACATGAACTCTTTTATGTTTTTTGGATGCTTTAGGTATTTTTCGAGTGACTAGTATTAGTCGTGCTAATACTGGAGTCTGTATGCACGACTCGTGCATGGTGGTCTGTATGTCATAATACATGGAGTTATGGGACTCAGTTTGTTTCCTGATTATATGTGATCAGGTAGAAATAATATGAACTGGTAAGAAAGTTAAGTAACACAAGAGCTTACTATAGATACAAAGTTTACATGTCATCAATAAATATTCGTGATGAACTTGGACATGATAATAAAAAGCAGTTTGAGTAATGTAAAGTGGAAGAGAAATCTAACAACTGTCAAGCAAAATAACCACGGAAACAAATCTTAGATGTGCTCCGAACTTCAAAACCAGGGACTCCTATTTTTGGTCACTTATGATCGAACTATTCTTTCCTTGAAATAAGTGGGACCATTATCATCTACCTGTGCAACATCAAGTTCCTGCATATATTAAAATTTCACAAAATGAGAGTGAGAGCCGTATCGGATTGCACTTTATACTTAACTGTAAAGATAACAGCAACCAAGGGATATTACATAGCTCAAGAAATTTGTTTAAAGCCACTCAGCAACAACAGTTACAGGGATTTCTGATGTTTGAGGAATGATGACCATATTTTTAGAGTTCAACACCGAACTTGTATTAAACATCCAATAATAGCATGAAGGCCGCTGCATATATATTCTTGTGAAAATAAAAAAAGATGAATTTCTTCCAATTACAATAGCAAGGCATGGTCAATTGGTCATTCTATAAGCGTATAAGATATCATCATTAATGTGAAATCCCAAAATAAGAACTAGGTCACAAATAACAGAGTGTATACAAGTATATTAAAGTATTAAACTTATGATGATGGGACTATGGAGTCAACCTAAGGCATAGCATTTAACACAAAAGCCCCGTCATAGTCGAGCTATCTAGTCTAGTTGAACTATATGCATCTAGAACCTATTGCTTACAATTGATGCCAAGTAGTTTTTTTTTTTGGGGGGGGGGGGGGTGCAATGGGAGTACTATAGACATATTGTCCAAGTCTTCCAACAAAGCCTAATTGAAAAATTGCAAAAACTTAGAAAATCAAAATATAAAATCTCTTTGCTTCATACCAGCAGATTTGTAAGGAGACTGAATGTGCTCATTGATTCCCCATCCAAGTGCCTGACTCATACTTTTCATGAGCACGACAAGCCTTTGCCCTTGTTATCTTGACTAGAGAAAGATACTGATGAACTAATTAAGAGACACAACCCTTTAATGCTTAAACCCTTTCTAACCTCTCTCAAACAAAAACGGTTAGGCTTCTGAATTCTCCATCACCACAGTTGTTCTCTTAATACTCTTGCAATACCGTCCTAATTGTTTCTCTACAAAAAATAGCTTTGTTTTCTTCTTCCTCTACCATACCACATGTGACTTTCGTTCTCCTACTTGATTGGACCTATGTATTCATCACTGAATTCTTCTTTGTAGTTGTTTGCAACATCTCTTCATCATAAAAAAACAATTGTGGAGTACTCAGTTATGGATAAGCTCATATTCAGGGTTTTCACAGAGTAACTCCTAGAACCATTGATTTAGAAATAATAAACCCAAAGTCTGATGGTTCTGCTTAGAGATACAAAGCGGAGAAGGAAATCTCTCCCTCAAACCTCAACCGACCACAATAAGAAGCCATATGGCTTGTATGCGGTGCTGATTGACCCTCAATGTCTTGTAGCTGCTCAGACGCCACCTTAAGGGTCTCAAAAGATATTCTGTTATTTACGTGGGCTCTTGAGTAGAAATAACTGTATCACTAGGGTTGATTGCCTATGGCCCAAAAGCATCTCATAAACTTCAATTAAACCATTAATCCCGAGACCAGAGATTTCATATTCGGAATGAGGCACGAGATTAGAAGGAAACGATGAATTTGTATTTGTAGAAACTAGAAAATATAGAGTGATATGGTTTCTAAATTATTAACCATGGAAAAAAGACATAATTTGCCTAAAGGTTTTTTTTCATTTTGTGCTGTAAAAGTAGAGTAATATGTTATATGTAGGAAAAGTATTATTTAGAAGGATATGTGGCATTTACACAAATATTATTTGTATGGACAAAATAAGTTATACCCCAACCCTAGAGTCCCCCAGTACCGGCCCAGACAGTAGGTTGGGAGGAGTTAAATTGGGCTATAATATCAGTCTGGCCAAGAGAGTGTGTGATTTGTCCCCGATACTTGCAAGAACCCCACGCTTAGCATGGTCATCCTTTTTTGCAGTTGCCAGGATTCGAACCCCGGTTTGCCCATGTGGCTTTGCCCTCTTGACCTGTTGAGCTACGCACCCAGGCATTTGTATGGACAACAAAGATTTTTAGAGAGAGGCAAAGTCATACGAAGTACTTATTTTGTGTGCAAAGAAGATCTTTGTTAACTTGTACGAAAATGAATTGTTGGGAAAAAGATAAAAATCTAGTAATGAATGTATCTCATGGAATGTATTTGAACTTTTGTTGTTGGAATTTAGAAGCCCTTCACAGAAAAAATGTGTTTTCTTTTTATCTAACAATTTCTCGCCTCTAAAATTTTTTCTGTTCCTTAAATTCGATGCAATTCTGGGAACAGTTTGATTATTAATACATGTTTTGGCTGGAAATTTCGTAGAAGTATTTGGTTTGTAATGTTAAGGCTTTAAAACTTACTTTGGTGGATATTTTTAAACTCCCATGTTATGATACACTAATGTGGTATTCTTGCTCAGTTTGTGTCCTTGATAAATCCAGCAATCAGTGTTTACCTTGAGATCTTACGCGATGGCTACGAGTCCTTTGCTATGTATTGCTTTGGGAGATATCTTATTGCCTGCTTAGGTACATACGTGTTACGGAGTACATTTTGTCTTTGATTTAATGTTTTACATTTTAGCATGGCATCCACTTAGTTTTAGGTCTAGCAGAGTAGGGGATGTGCACTATTGATGAATGGCATGTACAAATTTAATTTGTACAAGGCTACTGCACTTGGAAGGTGGAAGTATACAGCATATTTCTTTATTCATTTTCATTACTATCTATCAATTTCCAATGTAGGTGGTGAAGATAGAACTATTAGATTTATGCAGAGAGAAGGGCGTGCAGGTTCAAAGGCACCCCTACTAGGTCATGGTCATGAGAAAGGAACTATAAAGCATCCTTTTCCAATGAACATTTTTCTCAAGCCCTGGAAACTGGGTCATTGGGTTTACCAAGTTTTCAAGTTTGGAATTGTCCAATATGTATGTTATTTGACTACTATTTGTTACATTGCGTCCATAATCTATCCCATCAACTCTTACTAATCAAATTTTTTGACACTGCACATGATTTTTTTCAGATGATAATTAAAGCATTTACTGCTATATTAGCTGATATCCTTGAAGCTCTTCATGTCTATTGTGAAGGAGACTTCAAGTGGAACTGTGGGTGAGAAATAACTAAGCACTTGTTATGTACAAATGTAGATTTTTAATGCTATATCCTCTGTTAAATTTATAAAGTAGGGAAATATTGATTTCCTGCCAAATTTCTATATCTGATTTATTTTTAAAATCATACAAGTATACTTTTGTATACTATAGTATTTATGCTCATCATCAAACATTTTATTATTTGGATTTTGTTTTCCAAATTCAAAAGTCCGTTAATGAATTCATGTTGTAGCATATGTGCCTCTAGAAGAAAGGATCAATATAATCTAATTTCACCCACATTTTCTGTTTTTTAGGTACCCTTATATGGCCGTGGTTATAAATTTCAGCCAATCATGGGCATTATATTGCTTAGTGCAGTTTTACACTATTACAAAGGACGAATTGTCTCATATCAAGCCGCTATACAAGTTCTTAACATTCAAGTCAATTGTTTTTTTGACTTGGTGGCAAGGGGTGGCCATTGCACTTCTCTATAGTCTTGACTTGCTTAAGAGCCCAGTTGCTCAATCCTTGCAGTTTAAATCAAGCATTCAAGACTTCATCATTTGTATTGAGGTAAACTCTTTTTTATATATAATTTGGTTGCTATTGCTTAGCACAACTAGCTAGACTATAATCTAATGGTGGCTAATTCAAAGGGGGCGGTTCCCATGACATTGCTTAGGAATGTCATGGGATGACCCAGCGGCCGTACGATGCTCCGTTTGTAAAAGTGACGGTTCTTACCCCTCCTAACCCCCGGTAAACCCCTCACCCCACACCGCCCCGAACCCATCGCCCCACCCCCTTCAATTGCATCCCCCAAGTTTAATTGACTTTGGAGTCAAAATTTTGACTCCAAAGTCAATTAAACTTGGGGGATACAATTGAAGGGGGTGGGGCATTTACCGGGGGGTTAGGAGGGGTAGGAACCGTCAATTTTACAAACGGGGCATCATACGGCCCCCGGGTCATCCCATGACATTGCTTAGCAAAACCGGAGTGAATTCAAAGATACTGTTTTCTGGCTGTGACCTTTGTACTAAAACTTCTTAGCATAGCTAAGTATCTTGGGTAAATACTCTTTTCCCGTGTGCAGCTGTTAAATGCTTCATACTCTTACTGTCCCAAGGGCAAAACAATCTTATTTTTGACAATTGCTTTAAGCCAAATTTTAAAATATCTTGCAATTTTGGAATACAAAGTATCTAATGTACAGTTCCTTAACATATTGTTTAAATTTTCAGAATCATTGAGATTTAGTCAATTTGAACACATCAAAATTCAAAACAACAAATTCTTTTTATACATTGATAGGGATGAAATAAGAATTTCTTCTACTTTTATACAATAACCTTTATACGTTCCAATTCATGTGATTGATTTGGTAATTTAAGTTTAACATTTCATGCATAATTCATCCAGCACAGATGGGGATTGCTTCAACGGTTCACCTTTATGTTTTTCCTGCTAAACCATACGAACTGATGGCCGAGTACTTCCCTGGAGCTATTTCAGTTCTTGGAGACTATGTATCTGCAGAATGCCCCATAGATCCTGATGAGGTTAGAGACAGTGAGCGTCCCACTAAACTGCGCCTTCCTCAACCCAATACTGATGCCAGGAGTGGAATCAATATCAAAGAGAGTGTCCGGGATGTTGTTCTTGGTGGAGGCGAATATGTAAGTTCATTATCTACCCAAAAAAATGTTGGGTTTTTTTAAACCACGAATCCGAACTAACATTAACACTAGCTAATTATCTTTAAACCAGATAGTGAATGATGTGAGATTCACAGTAACACATGCAGTGGAGCCAGTGGAGAAGGGAATCACAAGATTTAATGAGAAACTACACGAGCTATCTCAAAACATGAAGCGACGCAACAAGGAAGAGAGGAAAACCAAGGATGACAGTTGCATTGCAACATCATCATCACCTACACGGAGGAGAGTCATACGTGGGATTGATGATCCCCTTCTGAATGGAAGTGGCAGTGAAAGCTCGGCATCTGGACGAGGGGGGAGGTGGAGGAAGATGAAAGAGGGTCGCAAAGCGGGATACACTAGTGAAAGTGGCATGGAAAGTAGCAGTACTGAGAGTAGGTACAGCGATTTCCTTGTCCGGGGCAATAGGTGGGTAACTAAGGACTGATAAAGCTGAGGATGGCCATGGCTCTTTGGGTGTTAAGAACCCAAAACAGCATGATGTTGAGCTTTTCCACTAGCATTACCCAATCCCCTTTCATTCAGTACAGGTTCCAGCTGCTCTCTAACCCCTTCCAGTGTTATTAACCCGGTGGTCGAACCAGCCGAATCGCGACCCGAACACGTAACTGGTCTGGTCCAACCCCCCAAAACCTGTAAAAACCCGGAAAAATTAGGACCCGTCCTCCTCGCCGGTTCGACGTCCGGTCCAGGTTTAAAATCATTGACCCCTCCTGGAGCTGAAATTCTTCCATTTTTACCTTAGAAATTATGTACATCCTTCAACTGTTGTCTCCTTTACCCAAGAGGCTCTGACGGCAAGGACGTATTTGGAAGCTGCGAATTTTCTTTTTGCTCGTTAGAAAATTCAAAATCCATAAGGTCCCGTTTGGTATACGGAATTCAAATTATGGAATTGGAATTGAGGACTTCAATTCCAATTCTGGTGTTTGGCAGCACAAATATTATGTGGATTTGGAATTGTTAGTGCAAAAAAATGAATTGAAATTGGTGAATTGAATTCTAAGGAATTGAATTTCATGGAATTTCAATTCCAATTCAATTCCAATTCCATCAATTCCTTATACCAAACGGACCCTAATAGTCTGTCCTATATTTATTTTTCTATTTTGACTTTGAGTACGATTTTTTATACTCCCTTCATACCAAAATAATTGTTTCATTCCACTATTTACATGTCCAACTTTTTCTTTTTCTTTACTTATTTTTATTTATATGTGTTAAAATAATATAATCATGTCACTTCTTATTTATACAAAAGTTATTGTACTCTTAATTTTTTACGGAGTAGTATATAAATTTTATTTTAAAATTTTGTACCATTATTTAAATAAATTATATTAAAAATAAATTTAATCAAGCCTTGTTATCTGTAAAGAGACAATTATTTTGGAACAACAATAGTAAGAGCACCGGAAATACATATAATATCCATCTTCGTGATGAGGCGTGTAACGCCTTCCTAACGTTAAACACCACCCCTACCCGTGTAATCCCAGTGTTATAACCGTTGTATTAAATGTCTGACGCATCACAAATGAGGAAGGTGGCGGCCCCACCTTCCCCCAACGGTCTAAATTATGGTCGTTGCCAATTTTAAATTTTTTATTTTCAACTATAAATAATTTCTCATTTTAAAAAAATATACATATAAAACATATTCTCATTCTCTCTACAACTCAAATAACCTATTTTTTTTTTTTCTAAAAAAATGGGGCTATCATCTTCATGTGACGATGAGAGAAAAACATTAATGTTTTGTGCTTTATCAAGGGATGTTACTAGTGGTGGCAAGAACAACAAGAGGAAGCGGAATCTTCCAGGCATTCAAACCGACGTGACTACGTGAGCATTTATACCATGACCGGGTGGCTACGCACGAAACACTGTTCAACGACTACTTTAATACTTCGTGTGTTTACACGTTAGAGGAGTTTAGGAACATTTTTGAATGAGCCGTTCTTTATTTTAAGAATACTTCATGCTAATAAACGTGAGCGCAGTTTTAGCAGCGTCCAAAAGTGCACTGTTGCACCTCGTCAAATGACGTACAAAACTGCTGCTAGTGATATGTTCGACGAATACTTGAAGATGGTGGATCGAAACACGGGTCATGTGTATTGATCACACAATATGTTATTTCAAAAGATTTTGTTTGAGTACTATTTTTAAAGAATATAATTAACACCTACTTTTCATATAATTGGTATATATATAACAAGAAATTAAATTTCATCCCATCAATTATGAGAATCATTTCCCGGCCTCTTGCGTCTCGGAATTTCTCTGCAGTCTCCGCCAAACATATCAAAATCTTAGGATTTTAGTGGACAAAACTGTACTTATGGAGGAGTATTACAAAAGCAACCCTCTTGGAGAAAAAAATACAAACGAAAAGAGACAACAATGGAGTCTAACTTTTGAACCATTCCATGGACATCCACTCTAAAAGCATGCACCATTCACGAGTGCCCGCTGCTTGATACGTTGTATTACACAATGAATGAAAAAGGAATAGGGAGTAATAAATTTTTCCAATTTCTTTTGGTTTTTCTAGTTATTCCCATTTTCTTCAATCTTAGTTTTCTTCCCAAATAATGACTCTAAAAAAGATATATTTTTAATTTATTATAATTATTATTAAGTTTATAACTATAGTTCATATCTCGATTCTTCAATTTTTGTTTTATCTCATGTCACTATTTTTGTGATTCACACTTAAGGGTGTATACGAATCGAATCAAATATCTAGATATTCGATTCGTATTCGTTTAAAATAATGATACATATTCAAATTCGTATTCGTTTATAATTCGAATTCTAAAATTTGATAACATACATATTCGAATATTCAAATTCGAAAACAATAAAAGATTTTTTAAAGACATTTTCTAGATATAGTAAGTTATTTTTTTATAAACTACGAGTAATATAAATTGACAAATTAAATTCATCATAACACATCCAAACTATAAAAATCACCTTAAATATGACTAAAACATGGAGAAAAGTATCAAAATAGGACTTTCATGTTTTTTTCTCGAAACAGGACTTTGCACTGTAGTAATGTGGCACTGTACACGTACACATTACATATACTTTTTGGTAATGTACATGACCATGTTTGATAATGTAAATGCATTATAAGTCCTATTTCGTGAATAAAAACATGGAAGTTCTATTTAGTTATATTTTCAATGTTTTAGTCCTACTTTGGTGTTTCTCCCTCCAAACTACTACCTAAATTGCTACGAATTTTGGGAGCAACATGTCCCAAAAATTAGAACAAAAGAGTCTCATATTCAAATACAATTTTCCAACCTCCAAAGATAACATGTAATAGAAACAAAACAACACAATGGCCAACAAAACACACATAATACAAAACTCTAGAGTCTGGAAGCTTGGCGAAAGAAGTGAAGACGATAGATGAGGCGACATGCGGAATTCTAGAGTCTTGAGAAAAATAATACGATCAGGATTTTTTTAATAGAATAACATTAGGGTTTGTTTGGGAGAAGCTTATGCAGATAACTAGGGTGCATTACACTATTAGGATTTATTTATTTATTTAATTTGAAATATAAACGAATCAAATCTATTTATTTTCGAATTTGAATTCGATTATAATTCGAATCTAATATTTGATTCGGATTCAAATTCGATTAAGGCGAACACGGATCATGTTTTTTGAATACGAATCACAAATCGAACTATTTATATTTGATTTGGATGCACCCCTAATCACACTCATTATTATATTTTTTCCATTTTTAATATAAATAATACGGAGTACAATTTTATTGGGAAAATTGTTTTTTAAGTAATCTACATGAGACTAATCAATGTTCTTAAAATTAGAGATATTTTGTTAATCTAAATTGATTTGGAAAAAATATTAATATTTTAAAATAAAAAATAATAATTATACTACTCCATCTGTCTCTAATTAAATCTCATGTGCGCGATTTACATGGTCAAATTTTGTTCACTTTCTTTACCTATAGTAATAATAATAATAATTAACGTTGATAATAATAATGTTAATAATAATTGTAACAACAATAACAATAACAATTATAATAAGAGTAATATGTAAAATACACATAAATAAAATTTTGATGTTCTTCCCTTTTTTGTCCAATTTATTTCAATTTTTTTCAGTTTCCTCTAATTTCTTAGAGTTTCTTCTAGTTTTTTCCAAGAGTAAATTTCCAAAATAGTCCTTTGTAATAAGGTGTTTTCCCAAATCAGTCCTCAATAAGTTTTAATTACCTATGTGGTCCTCTATAATTCAGATTTATTTCCAAGATGGTCCTTTGTAAATAATGTTACTCAAATGAGGATTAATTGAGAGTATTTGAGTATTTTTTATCTGCTAAATTTAGAATTAATTCTTAAAATGATCATTTATAATGGAGTGCTTTCCTAAAATGGTTTTTCTAATTAAAAATGTAGAAATCATTCTAAATAGGATTAAAACATAGAGAAAAGTACCAAAATAGGACTTTCATGTTTTTTTTCCCGGAATAGGACTTTGCACTGTGGTAATGTGACTTTGCATTGTGGTAATGTGGCAGTGTACATGTGCAGATTACTATACTTTTTTGGTAATGTATACGACCATGTTTGGTAATGTAAGTCCTATTTCGGGAATAAAAACATGGAAGTCCTATTTTGGTATGTTTTCAATGTTTTAGTCCTACTTTGGTCTTTCTCTCTTAAAAATGTGTATTTGATTTGAAATTTAAAAGATTTTTTCTAAGTTTAAAATAATTTATGAATTATTTATAGTCAATGTATTTTTAAAATTTTACATTTAGTTATACAGAAATGAATGTTTCGAGAATATACTTTAAATTTGGATGATCAAAATACCAAAATATCTTCCTATTATTCATCATTTGAGTAACATTATTTACAAAAGACTATCTTGGAAATAGATCTCAATTATAGAAGACTATATAGGTAATTAAAACTTATTGAGGATCGAATTGGAAAACACATTATTACAAAAGACTATTTTTGGGAATTTAACTTTTTTTCCAACATCTAATTTTTTTTAGCTCTAAAAAAGGCTATAGGTACACAACTTACCTCTTAATGATGTTGCAGTTTTGTTCCTTTTGTAATACTCCCTATATCCTTAATATAAGTACTACAAGGGAGTATAAATTAATTGTTTTCGTTCATTATGCAGTTTTGTTCTTTATACTCCTTTTCGTTCATTTTTTCTTGAAAATTTACCTAAATATAACTAAAATATAACAAATTTCTCAATATAGGATTATATGTTTTTATTTCCAATGTTGGACCATTGATCATTATCCATTAGTCATTATTCAAGTAAATATCCAGCATCACTGGACATTATTCTTCCCACTAGACATTATTAAATACTATTTAAGGAATAAAAAAGTTTAAATCTTACAGTGGGAAATGACTTCTTTTTCCTTCTCCTTTTGAATAACGTACGTGCATAATTCCATGCTATTAGAAATTACTTTCTTCCCAAGTTGCATTGATATATCAATAAAAAGTACGAAGTACAAATTACATTATTCAAAATAACATTAAAAGTTCTACAAAAAAAATGTGACAAGAATATTTTATTTTATCAAATGATTAATGAAAAATGCAAACAAACATAAGATATCAAGATACCGTAATACGGAGTACTAACTAGGAGAAAAAAATGAATGGATGGAGTATAAAGATTGTTATAGAATTATTAATAAATAAAATCTATATATTTAAAAATTACTTCAAAAGTTCTATAAAACAATAGTGACAAACTAGTTTATTTTAAAAAATAATAAATGAAAATGGGTAAAGAAAATGAATATAATTTGACATTGCAAATACTAAAGTTGAATATAATTGTGAAACGGAGGGAGTAGTGTGACTTTATCCCCTAATTTTCAAACTTCATATTTTGAGTTGTGTCATTGTTGCCATAAAGTAAGA